CTTTGAATTGAATTTTACTTTTAAGAAGTTGATTTATGATTACTTTAAATTGATTTATGTTTTAGTATAATTTTTATTGAAAATATATGCTTTTAGATTATTCTGGGTTGTTAAATATACGCAGGTTTGTTTCTGCAGTTGAGAATGTTGTAGAAATAGACATGTTCTTAAAAAAAAAATAGGAAAATACACCTCAGTTGTGACCATAATCAAGGCAGAAAGTCATATATGGCATCGATTCATGTCACAACCAAGGCATAAAGATTGGCGAAAAACAAAAAAACAAAAAATAAAAAACACTCTACTGCCTTGGTTCAAATCCCAACTGAGACAGTAGCGTCACACATAGTGCTGCAGTTCAGTAGGAACCGAGGCAAAAAGTCTGTCAAAATAAAAAAATAAAAAAAGAAAAAATTATATTTCTTCGGTTACCAAAGAACCGAGGCAAATCTTACCCTTTTTTGCCTCAGTTTAGAATCGAGACAAAAAGTCTACCACTTTTGCCTCGCCTGTATATGTATCGGTTGCAGAACCACTATCTATAAACGAAAATAACCATTGTCATTTTTCTTTACTGTACTAGTGAGTACTATGTATTTGTGTGAATGTTACTAACCTTTTCTTTTAATTTATTAAACAGATTGCTTGAAATAAAAGAGGATTTTTGTGCTTTGATTGAATGGCGTTTATCTCACTCAAAGAGTAGTTATTGAGATAGTCGTGTAGTTGATGACATTGTGGAAGCAATAGTTAATGCTATTCCATTCCGCAAATAAAACCAATAGTTCTTATTTTCATTTCTAATGTAATGGTTATAGATATATAGTATTATAAAGAAAAATAAAAATCATTCGAATGTGTTGATGAGGTATAAAAGACTATTAGATTTTGGATTAATACACAAAACCTTAATTTATAAGAATAAAAATTATATCTACATTAAAATGTAAATACAAATGTGGATTTTATACAAGCAGGAGCAAAATTTCTAAATTTTCTTAAAAGATTATGTAATATATAGTAATATCTATGTAAAACGTGCACAAAGGCTATGCTTTCCATTCTCTCTACTACAAGATTTTTTTTTTCTCCTCTCCATCTTTTTTTACAATATATCATCTTTTTTCAGAAATAGTAGAAGATCATTTAAAAATACAAGCAAAATAAGTTCTTATTTATTCAATATTTTCCTTTTTATTTTAATTTATATTAGTACAAATATATGAATTAACTATTAAGATAGACTACTATTACAAGAAAAACATAATATATGGTGACATGATGATTACATTTTTTTAAAATATTGTCAAGTATTGGATATTCGGATAAAATTGTAGTATATACCTCTTTGAATATGGTTATTTTCTAAACTTTTTATTTGTTTGTGAAAACGTCTCTCATCATTATAGAACTCGTTGTTTTCCTCTTCGCCACAAAAGATAAGCTTTTTCTTGCTTTGTTTTTCTTTATTTTTGTTTGGAAGCACTCATAAGTGGTTGTGTTCATGTTCATTGTGACCTTGTTGTTTTTCTTCCTAATATCTGTATTTTTAGTCTCTAAATAACTCATGTATTGAGCTCAATGTTATAGTCCAACCATTGAAACTATGATGAGTTAATCGTGATGAATTTGGAGCTTCTCAATGACCTACATTGTTACAGTGACCTACATTATGGTTGAGTCGTAGTAAAAAATGTTTCTTTTATATTAACCCTAATAACTACGATTTTTTAATTCTAGCCTATCATCTAAAATAACCGTAGCTTGCGCTGCAATATTATTAGTAAGGTTATAGTTATTAATTTTAGTGAAGTTAGTTGAGAGAAATTATTCTTTCAACTTATTTTACCATATACTATTTGTTTTTTCTTGTTTGGATACTTTACTCTAAATCTCTAATTGAGAGCAACTCAACTTTTTGAGTGGAAGAACCTTAGCTTTGAGGAAAACTATTTTAGGTAAGGAAAGCGAGTATAAAATTCACTTTATTAAGTAACTATGTTATGATTGGACTGTTTGATAAAAATGGGACGGGCTAAATATTTTTATTTGAGTATGAGATATCAAATTGGTCTATCTGAGTAGTTTTTTAATTGAATTAAACATATTTTGGTACAAGAAAAAAGTTAAATGGTTGAGATAGACTCAATAAGCTAATATAATACACATATAAGATTCTGAACCATGCAATTTTGTTGGGTGAGACCTTAGAGTTGTTGGGCACAAAAGATAATTTTTCCTTCTAAAGAGCTCTTGACTTTCTTTTTGTTAGTGGGTCATTCCCTGATCTAGACAAGCTAAGTGAAATTGGCTCGAAGGACTTGGGTCGTTGGGTGAGAAGAAAGAACCATTGAGTGAAAATATTTTATTCAAAATCTAGAGAGCAAGATGATTTTGATCGTTGGGTAAAAGTGAGTTTGATATTTGAGAAATTTGCTCCCAAATACTTGAGTAAGCCAAGGTCTTGTTGAGCAAAAACTCTTGTTTTAAATACAAAGAGCTTTATTCTTGATTTTCATTAGGTGAGAAAAGTAACATATTGGGCGCAAATATGACAAAAAATGTTTTTCTTGTAATTTATTAAAGTTTGGATACGAGATATGTGATTGTGTGGATGATGTGAATGTAATGACTCCTAGGGAGGGTGTACTACATTGAGATGATGTTAGGTGGTGCTGAAAAGTGATTAAGTTCTGAGATTATCTTGACAATGGTAATGTCAGATTCACATAGAAGAAGATATCTAGTTGTGAGAATTAAAAGTGGTTTCTTATCTAGTGTGAAAAAGAACTCTATATCACAAATATTCGAATTAACATTGGTCATGCTTGAGATAAACTTTAGTCCTTATGTAAATCTATAACAATAGTTCTTAAGAGGTAAGAGTAAGTTATGACAAATGTAGGATCTTTAATTCTATTTAATAATGAGTCTTTCGAAAGTAAAGCTAGATATTTATGTTGTGAGTGAGTCATAAGGGTTGAACTAAAAAAGTTGTGTCGTGTGATAAATATTTAATTTTTGATGAGAGTTATTTACTTGATATGATGATAATGATGTTATGTGTAATATGTTTTGATTTTTACTGACTTACCCTTTTATTTTTTTTTTATGTTGTGATATTCATTTATTACGATTTTATGTTACACGTTAGTAAAGGATCGGACAAATGTTGAAAACCAAGTGAGATTATATAATATTTGAGAAATATATAAACAATGGGTTGGTGTTGCGTATATATAATCAATTTTGGCAAATCTCTAGTTCAATGGGATTGGAACATGTATGTAACAAAACCATCATCATTTCATTTCATATTTGTTTCACCACTTGTTAAAAAATTTTAAATTATGAAGGAAAAATTTCTTATTTTTTATTATTATTATCATTGTCATTAGGATGTTCGTTTTCTCGTCATCACAGTATTCGTTCATCTCAAATTCTGACTTTCAATTCGAAACTATTGTTGTGTACAAACAATGTGTTATTTGTAAATCAAGTTTGCTGTGAAGATTATGCACATTATTTTATTTTGTTGAGAAATATAAGAAGTAGAAAAATATACATAAGTATGTTTTTCTTATGTTATTATAATAAATGATTGACTATGATTTTAATTCTTAAACTTATATATAAAATTATAATTTTTTTTGTTTTCAATTTTAATAAACTTTAATTTTTAAATTTTTAAAATAAATAAATAAATATAACTATTTTAATCTAATGACGTTAACCTTTTTACATATTAAATAATATTTCAAGTTCATTTTTGAGTATTCAACTCTTCAAACTTGTTAAAAGAATTATAATTGGTTTCTTAAGTTGTGTATATCTTGGATGGAAGTGCACATGAATAAAGATCGTTTATTTTACACTAAAACTTTGTGATATGTTCAATTTAAATGATATTAGCTATTACATAAAATATCTATACTAAAAAAAAAAGACATTATCGACGATTATAATCCTTCAGTAATAGCTAGAAGCTGTCAGTAATGACCATTTACCGACGGCTTAGCGACGGTCGTGATACCGTTGATAAATCTCTTGTCGCTAACATTTATCGAGGGTCTTTGGCCTTTGGTAATTACCGAAGGGCAGAAGCCATCGGTAATTACCGAAGGACCAGAGGTCGTGGGTAATTATCGAAGGACATAAGCCTTCGGTAATTATCGAAGGCCAGAGGCCCTCGGATACTTCTGAAGGGCTGAAGCCTTCGATAAGTTCCAGGAAAATTTAGGCACAATTGTATTTCTTATCTAACCAAACAAACTTGCATAAATTGTTCACAGCACAAACAAACCTACATAACATTTTCCAACCACATACAGACCTGCATAATGTGCATCTCAATCATCCAATCATTGATCATAAACACAATATAACATTTGAATCATCCAATCATCAATAGAATATGTATTTATAAATGAAACATAAAACAATCTAACATAATGTTCTAACATTCAAATCATCCAATTGATCTAACATCCAAATGATCTAACATCCAAATGTTCTAATATCCAAATGTTTCTATAACAACTATGTTCAATAACAAAATAAAACTAATAATCTACATAATAATCATCAAAATGATCTTCATCATCCTGCTCCTCTGTAGATGGCTGGACTGGTGTGGGTTGGACTGATGTCGGCTGGACTGATGAGCGCTGGACTGATGTGGGTTGCTGAGGGACAACGGGTGACGGGAAGGGTCATGGTTGGGTCGAAGGGATAATGAACTGATCCTGTGAAGTTTCAGGCAACACTCTCATGACTAGGGCTTTAAAGTTTCTAAACTCTGCTCTCAAATCAGTGATTTCCTGGTCACGTTGCTCTAGTGCCTACGTGAGGCAGACAACGGCCTCGTCAGCAGTAGTGGTGGAAGAAGAAGGTAGGTGCTTCAGAGTACCTCCTCTCGATGCTGTATAGTTTGCATCAAGTTGTCATGCACCGTACACTCGTCCCTTTTTCTTCCCACCAACGATGCCAACGATGTCGACTCAGCACTGTGTCCTACGGATGTCGTCTTCTGCATTACTCGCATCATCCAGTGTAGGAGCTGACCCATGTTCAAATCTAACCTGTGAAAGTCTCGTAGAAAATTCTTCTTGTTCAAACATTAAAAGCAATGTTAAGGAATGACAGAATAACATAAATGAAAAATTACTAATAGTAACAGTGTTCTTTGCTTACATGAGTCTTCCGAGATCTTTCATCAACGAATTCATTAGTGCCCTTCCGAACATGAGTCTGTACAAAGACCTCATCAACATGGACCACCCATCCCAAAGCTTATGTCTGTAACATAATTTAGAGTTAGAAGTGTACATATGAAATAGAAAAGTAATGAAAGTTTACCATACGAATGGGATACTCATGAATCGTGATCGACCCACCAGTATGCAGGGTGCCACCCTTTTCAGAAGCTCTGTTCCTCTAGGCTTTGGCACACTTATTGGGAAACTCTACTGAATTCCAATGAGTCAGTAAAGAGTTCCAAATGTGCTCGTCCAACCAGTAAGGGCGCTCCACTGCATTGTGGGCATCCGTAAACTTCTCTGACAGCTGATGGGATGCTTTCATGTGGAAATTTTTTGTATATGTGTTTCATGTTCAGGTTTCCACTGCACCTTCATCTGTAACATTAAACAAAACAAACATTGATTAATGAACATACTAAAATAAGAATGACAATTAGTTTAATGGGTTGTTCACATGAAAACGCTGCCAAAATGGCTTTCTGTCCTCTACAGATATTACTCCCCAAGTAGGCCATGGACTTAAAAACTATTGCTTAATTGATCGTGTGATGGCCTGGGAAGCAACCCTGGATGAAATAAATCTGCATAATAAAAGTCATTTGAATTAAGGCGATCTTTAGACTTCAAAATGGTTAAAAAAAGGGATTAAAATCGTACCATTTACCATATGGCTCAATCCATGGTTGATCATGGAGGGGCAGGTCAACGCCTTCACCATCACCAACTGAATCTGGATCAGCAGATGGTGTGACAGTCTCAGAAGACGGTATAGAAGATGAAGAAGGTATAGAAGTAGGGTCAGGGGAAGGAGTGGGGGTAATAAGCATAGGGGAAGGAGTTGGGGTTATAATCACAAAGGTAGGACAAGGATGTACTACAGGGGTAGGAGAATGGTGTACTGCAAGGGTAGGAGTAGGGTCTACTGCAGGAGTAGGAGGAGGGTCTACTGCAGGGGTAGGAGGAGGGTCTACTGCAGGGGTAGGAGGAGGGTCTACTACAGGGGTAGGAGGAGGCCCCACGGATGATGGACTAGGGGCAGCAGTGGCAGGTAGTGTAGCAGGCACCCTAAGTACATACTTTGGTGCATAACAGATTAAACAAGGGAGAAAACTCAAAAACGAAGATCAAAATCAAGTGTAGTGAAACTGTTTGATAATTTTGCAAACTGTTTGATGAAAGTCCCCAATGAATTTCAGATTTTGTGATTTTAAAGTTTTGGGACCAAAACTGGATTGCTTCGTTTTCTTTTTATGATTGTATTACAGTACAAAGATGTAATTATATTTGGAAACACTAAACCATCTTTTGTCAATCCAGAAATGAAGATTAAAGATTTGAAATTGTCAAAGAGCACTTAAAATGCACACCGCACCAGAAAATGACATTGAAAATGGTGGTTTCAAACGAAAAAATGCTTGAAAGTGTTTCAACAGCTTAAGTGATGCTTCAAGCAAGTTTATATCATAAATTTGAAGGTGTGCAAACACTTAAACAGCCAAGAAACATATTGCATGAAAAATCAGTGGTTCACTTCCATTTTAAATCAAATTTTGACGGTTTAAAAGGTGATTCTTCATATAGGCTGAAAAATGACCAAATGAACAGTGCAAACAACTTTGAAATGGCAATTTAAACTTACTCAAACGTTGGAAATGCACAAAGACAACAAGATTCAACAAATCACTCTTGTTATAGTCAAATATGCAGCAAAATACACGAAAAACAACACCAGAAATCAGATTTGAAAGAATGAAAAAGAGGATAGCAGCAACAAGGACTCTAGGAAAGCCTAATGCACTAGAGCTAACTAAATATAATCAACTAGAAGATTATAAGCACCTAAGACACAGTCAAAGAAAGCAAGCACGGTGAAAAAGCTTGATGGAAAAACAGTGATAGTGGTTGAAATCAGATTTCAAGCAACTCAAATAGTCAATTTTCAATTTTGTAATTATTAGGAGTTGCTATCACTTCAAAAATATGTAAAATCATCAAAAAAACTTTTCTTAAGCTGTAGAACCACGAAATGTGCACTGAAACAGAAGCTTGATATTGCACCAACATTGAATAAGCATTCAGATTTCAGATTTCAGCTTTGCACTGTGCTGTTTGAGTTATGTGTGAGTCTAATTCGAGTTTAACTCCACCTAGCTGCTGCTTTCCAGCTTGATCTTTTGTAGTTACACATTCTACAATAACTTTTAACATTGCCTAGTCCATTGAATCTTTTAAACTCAGTTTTGGTGGTGTGATGGAGTGATTTTTCTACATTTTTAGCCATAACAAAGTCAGATTTCGAATGCTAGCATTTCTATGTTGTGTGACAGTTTGAGCAAGTCTAAAATGATGTTTAAAAGTTGCTAGCAGAATTCAATTAGTGATATAATGGTCTGAGTGCATAATAGTATACTAATTCATCAATTTTGAGTCAAAATTGGGAAGTGGCAAGGTGTTTTTGAGTAACAGTTTGGATTTGAGCCAATTCAAAGTTTGAACAAGTTTAAAATCACTAAATCAACTTGCTGGAGTGATTAGTTTTGAGCTACAGCCACTGTTGTGACATTTTGTGTCTTAAACCACCAAATTGTGAGTCACTTTTTTGGAAAAAATGAACCAGACAACACTTGTGTAGATAATGGTAGCATCTTGAGGGGTGAAAACTTGTATAGCTCTTGATCTAAGTGCCTATAAAGCAAAGGAAAATAGCTTCCTGAAACAACATTCTGCAGTGAGAAAAAGAGTGAAAATTTGGCAACTCCACTAGCCAAGTTTTGAGACACAAGCCAAATAGCTGAGGGATTGTAAGATTGAGTGTTTATCCTCTAAAAGAAACTTGCTAGAGCACCCTACGACAGTTCAGAAGTGAGATTTGAATAGCCTTGGCCGAGAGGAACAAGCAATCACTACATGACAATCTAAATTGTAGTTTTAAAATAATTAGTCTTAGACAACTTTTAAAACTAGTTTGGTCACTTAACACAAGCAATCACATGAAACATACTTCAATAAACAATATGGGTCGTAAGATAACTCTCTAGAACTGATCCATCAAGCTTCCAAGTGTATAGTTAAGCAAATAAAATGATATATACCACATCATATCACACGTTACTTTCAAAATCAACAAGGACTTGGACATTCATAGTATCCATTATCTATCCACATAAAGAAGCATAGTAAACTATTAATCATGCATTTTGGTTCAGACTTAATCCAATTCTTTTCCAAAATCAAAACTAATACACTAAAACAGATTTGAAACGATTTAAGCACTGAATGGAAAGGTCAATTAACATTCCACTTCGAATTTCTACCAGGCACAATCTTTTATTCATGAATTACATATGATATAGTGTTCCTACCATCAAACAAAATTTAATGAACTATAATCTCATCCAATCATCAAAGTTCAAGTTTCAGACATACATAGGTATAAAGCTAACATGTTCGGTCAGAGCATAACAAAACTGAAGTACTAACGTGTTCTTTTCCCATTTATACCATAACTATCATAATTTCAATAGATACATACAAAGTTAACTCACACATGCATCACAAAGAGGGCAGCCACCAAAACCTACATAATTTGAAGCAATCGATTGAAGCAATAACTTACCTCTATGGCAGTGACAACCCTAGGTGTATTAGCACCTCCGATAGCCTGTCTCGCGAAGCCTTTCTCATGCACAGAAAGCCAGCTCGTCCTGGATTATCCTCCCTCGCGAAGTTAAAGCTATGCTCGAAACCACGACACCACCCACTAACCCGACAATGCACCTCCTCACGCTGCCAAAGGACTATCGTGAACAAACCCTAAGAGAAACACCGTTCACAATCAAAGGTGTCACGTCAATGCCTCCGTCCTTCAACCACACACGCTTTTGGACAATGGAGAGGAACTCGAGAACGATTAATGGCAATGGCGGAACCATAATGGATGACTGGGAAACAATGATACCTGAGGAGCTCAAGGTGGTTTCGAACTCTGAACGAGACACGGAAACAGATTACGGTGGGGGAGAGGGGAGAGGGAACTTAGAAAAGGGGAACCTTGCTTTCGCGAATAGGGTTTTTGGGAGAATGGAAGCGAGAAATCCCAATTCCTAATTTCATTAAGCCCATGCCTATACTGACAACCAAAAGCATTTAATAAATTCGTTGTCGCTTACTGATGGATATAAGTCGTCCGTAATAACCATCTTAATTGACCGTCACGAAAACCTTTGATAAATCATATATACCGACGACCAAAAGGTCGTCGATATTAATTCTTCTGTAATCTATGTTTTTCTTACCCGTAAGTGTTATTTAATATTCCTCAGCATATAAATTTAGTGGTTATGATGATATTGTACCTATATTACATAAATCCTTATTTAATATGATAGTAATAAAAGTACTGTATTTTTTTTTTTACTGTTTCAGCTAAATGAGATTAAAAGAAAATAAAATAGAAAATCAAGAAAATAAATATAATAATGATTTTTAAAAAGTTTAGATTAAAAGAAACAAAACTAACTTTTTTGTTTGATTAAATATGAAAATTTTAGTTGTATTAAGGGTCATTCAAACCGTTATGTTACAATAAAATATTTATTTCCCTTTTCTACTGAATGGAATAATTAAGAATAATAATAACTAAAGTTTGACTACGATATTATAATATTAATTTTCTTTTGCATTGAAACCTTATTAAGTTAGAAGAAATCTTATTCAATTCAGATCACAAACATTCATAATAAAACGACGTAAACTCTTTGACTAATCCTTTGAACAAAAAAGAGAGAGAAATCTGAGACTTTCTTTTTTCCATGCATAATTTAAAATTCAAGAAATCTAATTAGATACATGAATTACACAAGAAGCTTCCCTTTTTGTAATATTATGTTTGATGTACCAAATTAAATATATAATAAAATCAATTTAACATAATAAGTTAATTAAAAAGTATAACTATCCAACCCTGTAAGAAAAAAAATCCTTAAAATAAATTTAAATCCATCATGTTTTACCAAACGCTTATTATTTTATAAAAATGGGATTCTAATACATGTACTACCCAACACATGGCAAGAAATTATACATTAGCATAAATTAATTATATTGATAATTAACATTCCGAAGTTAAAATAATGTAATCAATTGTAGTTAGTTGTGTAACAAATAGTATTTTTGTTAATTTATTAAACTAAATAAATAACTAGACATTTATATAACAATTTAAATAATATAATATTTTGTATCTATTCCTGTACTAGCTAGTCCAAAATTATGAATAAATAATATCTTTTTATTAATAGACAATCTGTTTAAATATTGTGTATTGGAACTATGTCTATTAATAAACAATATTAATAAACAATATTTCTAAAAATGCGTTATCTAATAATCATCAATAACCAGCGTTTTTAATCATCTTTGACATGTTTTATAATTATTTCTTCTAATTTAAATATTAAACTTCTTAGCCTTCATGCTTTGGAACTTTTCCAATCAAAGTGAGAATGCTTTGAATTTTTTAGTGAAACCACTAATTAAGTCTTAATGTATAAGCCGTTATTAATTTAGTTTTTGAAAACAAAATTACTTAATTTTAAAATTTGTAAAAAGTATAAAATTATGTTCTTTTGTTAATTTTTGTAAAATCAACATTAAATTATAATTTATCGAAATAATTAAACATTTTAAGAAAATACTATATTATCAAATAACTTACTAATTTTTACACCTTTTACATATTAAAAATTAAACTATATTTTTAATTATTTAAATATTAAGTACGTATTCAAATAAATGTTTTCATTAAATTTATAAGAATGGAAAAATGAGTTCTTTTTTACATTAAAATTTACTTACATATGAAGTAATTTTGATATTTTTTTAGACTCTTTAAAACTTAATAATTTAGTTTAGATGCGAATTTTATATTATATATATTATTAAGTTTTAGCATAAGAACAAAAACTTAACTATATAGTAATATAATTCTACTGTCATGTAATAAATATTAATAACTTATCAATTAACTATGTCTTTCATACAATAAATATGGTTGTTGTTTTTTTTTAATTCAATTGTAAGAAATAGGTCTTTCATATATTAAGTATTTTTTTTAGCATCTCAAAATAAAAATAAAAAAATTAAACTTAACAATTAACTTTACATAAACAATAAACAATAAACAAGAGAATAGTTAAAAACCATACTTCATATTCTATGATTTAGCTTCACTATTCATTAGCACTTGCTCATCTTTGACGTTTTTCTAAGCTCACATTATTAAGGTAATCATTGTAAAAGAGAAAACAAATACACAAACAAACAAGAAGAGTAAGCTAATATCAAAAGAAATAAACATAGAATATCAGGATTCATCATACATAAA